TTATATTACACAGAATGTAGCATGTTCCATTCCCAGGAGAAAGCCAGATTGATACTGAATGTGTAACCAGCTGGGTGTTTACCCTTCATTATTCATACTGACAAGGCATGAGAGGAAGAAACAGAAAAAGAAGAAAAAACGAGTTGTTGGAATAATTGTTCCTTTTTGTGTCAAAAAATGCCGATTTGAAAATTCAGTTCAAGTGACTTAGGAGGAAAGCTCCTGTGTACACTCTCAACGTACCTGCTGTTTTTATGGTATATGTTCGCAGAAATTATTGACTGACATATTGACGTGTGTGGCAATTAGCCCTTTTTCTTTAGAAATGGGTTTATTATTCTTGTGCTTCCTGAAGAACAGACACTGAGTGTGCAATTACAGAAAGCGCTGGATGGACCTTCTTTCACTAGTCTAGAGTGAAAGTTGTTTTACAGTTGTTAGCCAAGTGTAAAAACCAGTGTAAACCCAGAGAACGTTATTTCACGAGATTTCAGAAGACGAGTGGAAATGAATCGGAGCAGAACTGAATCTCAAATGATCAGATCATAACACCTTTTATATACACATATGCAGGAGGTGCCTGTGGGATTAGAAGCAGGCGTCCTGGAGAGGGGCTGCCCAGCATCTGACATGGGATTTTGAACATGCTATTTATTCTTTCTCAGATGGCATAGAAACAATATGTATTTCTTGAGAAGCACTCTTTAGTACAAGAAATACGTAAATTTATAGTAAACAGCTTCTATCCTCTTCAAGCTAACGTTCAAATTATCAGTGAGAAACATGTAAATGGGACTGTTTGCTCTCGGTTTATAGTCAGGAAATTGAAGCGGAGTGGCTAGGGGATTCCCCTGCTACAAATACATTTCTGCATACTGTTCAGTCTGAGACTTGTTACTTTAAGCATGACTGCAAAATGTTACTTATTCATATTCAGAAACTTTCTTTTTGTGTGTATTTTTTATTTCTGCTTTCCTCGTCTTTTCTTTGCAATCTTCAGAAATCTAGTTTCTCAGTTTTCTGTTGATTTCAAAGGTCATAGGCACATCTGCACTGCATTTTGAACTGATTTGGCCGTGAACAGTTCTCTTAAGGCCAGTTTTCCTGGCTGCTAGCAAACAGGAGAGCCTAGATGGTCCTGAATACCTATGTCAAGCTTCATCTACAGAAGTGAACTAAATCAGCCAGGGCAGAGGCCAAACATTGTTTCTGGTTCATCCACATAATTAAATGTATAAATGTTTTTATGGTTCATGGGGTGTTTCTGCCAAGGCCGACTGGATTTCTTGCAGACATGTAGACATGAACCCCATACAATGCAGGCTTTGGCTAAAGATGTGGGTTGGTCAGGGGTAAGAAGTGGAGGAGGAGGTTGGGATCCCACTGTGGGTCCTTCTGGTTGAGTGGTAGGAAAGTGGGAGACATCAGGGTCGTACAGTTGAGGTCCAGCTTTTGGTCCAGGCATTTGCAGGTTTGCATTTTTGTACCTGCTACGGTGGTTCACCAGGATGACCTCACAGAGGCAGAGGCCTGATTTTGGATGTGACACTCCATTACTGTCTGACCATGGCTCATCATATAACTAGGGACGTGAACACCTCATGAGACATGCTTGTAAGAGAAGTGGAAAATGGCAACTTTAGTCCCTTAGCTCTCCCTGGACAATGTGTCACTAGTAGCTAGAAGCATCATGATCATCTCCCTGCTCAGAGTTTTGAATATGTAGCCAAAACTGACCTTTTGCTTTCTTTTGCGCCCGAAAAGATTTCAGTTTGTTGTTGACTGTTACATGAAATTGTCTTTTGGTCATTGCTGTGGAACAGCAGCATGTGATGTCTGCAGTTATTTCCCACTTTGTCCAAGACTGTGTGCCATCAGTGACAATCAACTCTCTTCTTTTTTGTCTGTTTCCTAATCTCTCTAATGTTCTTTATGCTTTCATTCTTCTTTGTTATTCTGTTGCCTTTTAAAAAGTTTTCTATTCTTTACCATCTGTGATATTCAGGAGTTTGGCTCTTTTTTCCATATCATTTATAATGCTCTAAGATGAGGTCTCAATTCTTACTGCAAATTACCAGTGAAATATGCCAAAGTAGTGGCGCTCTTGCTATAGATGAGAATAAAATTTCAGTAATGTTTTAAAAAAATGTTTTCTATGTGTTCATTATCACTGCCAATATCTTCTTGTTTAGTGGCAGGGATATTTAATATTATGAATGTTATGAATGGAGAACTACTGCATAAACTGGCATACCTTGAGATTTTTAGTAAACCCTGGAAATTACTTTTCTGTCTACAGCAGCCTATTCTGTTGGCCTTCTGTCAGGATCTTGAATTTTTCACAGTTCTTCAGCTGCCAAATGTTGGCTATGAAGTGATTAGTTTTCTGAGAAATCCACTCTTGGCCTCTATAATGAAGATAAATTCACTGGATTTCCATATCTCTGAAGAGTAACTTTTAAATAAAGGATACAGATTCTGGTGAATTCTGCTTGCATCCAATTTTAATGACTAATTTAATCATTCAGTAGCATTTCTATTTACCAAAAACAAATGTAAACCTTATAAAGAGAGCCACAGATCAAAAGGAAAAAAGGAAACAATAAGTTAATTATTGTTCCTACTGTCAAAATTGCTTTCCTTTGAATAAAAGCAGTCATGTCAAGTAGCAGATACAGCAAACATTGACTGTCGTATCATACATAGTTAATTCTTCTTTTTAAAGGGTAAAATTGTTAATTTTTGCTAACTATTGGCAAATGTGAGTGTTTTATGAAAAGAACTTTGGCACTATCAATTGCCTCATTGATTGTTTTCATTTCTAACAGCCTTTGTCAAACCGCTTTTCACATTCTACGGCTCTGAACATCTTCAGCTGGCTTAGCTTGTGAAATCATCTGTTTTAGCACTAGAACATAACTAAGACAATGACGGAGAATTCTGCAGAAACTCCAGTGATCTTTCTCCATTCCCAGAAATTGAGATTTCAATTTAAAAAAATATTTTCCTTTTTTTTTAAAGACATCCAACCAAAACAGCAGAACATATCCATGTGTTAATAAGTGTGATACTAAATGACTGCGTACCTCCAGCATCACATTTTGACCAACATTTTACAAAAGTTGAACCAAAACAGCAGGACTAGTCCAAGCTCATTTTCATAACCAACCTCTGTGAAGAGAATATCACCATTGTTTTTATGTTAGCTTTATTTACAATTTCCATCTAAATAAGGGTTTTGAAATGCAGAGAATGCGATTAAATATAGCAGGGCTTCACAATTTTAGCGCTTTTCTTTCTTCCGCAGCAGCTGGCTGTCTTCTCTTTATATTCCTGGGCAAATGTGAGCAGAAATTGTTGCATGTAAAGATTTTTAGGTTTTATAAGGTGTTTTTTTTTTAGTCTGCACAATCAAGGTTTAGTGTCTACTTATGCTTCTATGAAGTGAGCCTGAAATTTATCTTCTGTACTAGCAGTAAACTTAAATGGGAAGAGGATTAACTATTTGTGTATTGTAAAAGTGGTGCCTTAGAGGCATCGTTCTTTAAAAATAAGGAACAGTGGTGGCTGTGTTTACTTTGTACAGGGAGAAAATTGATTTGCCTAAATTAGCTTTCAAAGTAACTTTATGAAGTGTAAGGAGAAGCAAAAAAGTCAGGATATTAGAAATCTACAGGAAAATAAAAGTACACTCATAAATAATATAATAGGAACAGTGGATAGAAGAAGTAAGAAGATAAAAGCCTTTTTTTATATTCAGTGGAAATGTGGCAGCATATGTTTGCGAAGAAGGCTCCAGTATCTTCTATCTGAGGGTTTCCTGGTGTGGTTGTATTTTATATACTTTCAGTAGGAGCTGAAAACTGTTCTCTGTCATTAGCAACTTGTAAAATAAGTAACAGATGCTTTGGCTGTGTGTGGCTGAAAGAGAATGAGCTTGGGTTGTTCCACTTTGTATCCCTCTAGCCAAAATAGCTGCTTTTACCAAGTACTGGCTGATCTGGATATAATCAAGGTAGGTTCTATACTAAAAGCATCTGAATGGTGATTTAAAGATAAAAAGAGGTAAATGTGTATTTCTTTAGATTCAGTGCAGTTTGGAGAAACTGTTTGGAGAAGCAATGCGATTTGTACTGGAAAACGGTGAGGTGAGGTTGGTCACTTGGCTGTGGGGTTTGGGGAATAATGTGTTTTTTTTAAAAAAGGAAATAAAAATAAAAATATACAATCAAATATTCACACTCCTTGGATACTGTATAAAGGAGTAATTCTATCTAGAGGTAATGACTTATACATGCAATAAATGCTTCCAATATTTCTTACACAAATTTTCCTCTTGGGATGAAAACCAGTTGGAAAAGTATCTTTTATGTGATTCTAATATGAGCAAAAGGTATTTTTTGTTATAACCCATTGAACTTAAAATGTGTCACTATAATATCAGTGGCAAGATTATTCTTGTACACCTTCTCTAAATTCTCTTTTAATTTCTGATTTCATTTCATCAATTGGAAATCAAAATTTAATTAAGTGAAAAATGTCTTACTTTTTAGAAGCTGGAATATTCATGGAAATATGTGGATTTCCTTTTCATTTTCATTTGTTGCTTTTGGGTGGTTTTTTTTTCTTTTTACTCTGACAATATTGATTAGTTGGACTGGCTGCTTTGTGGGGCCTTCTACAGTTGCTTAACATTTTATAAAATTAAAGCAGTTGCAGAAAACATCAGAAACAAAACTAGAATAAAATTAAGAAGTTAGTGATGAACAGGGAAAGACATTTTTGATTCTCATTCAGTTTCTGGTGCTCTAATTTTTCAAGATTTCTGTATTTCCACTTTGCCAGCAGACTCTATGTAATGTTTTAATATATGGCAGAAGTTATTCATGAAGTACCTAAAAATGATGTGCGGTTTTGGCACTGAGTAGTCAAGTATCAAATTAACTGGCAATATCAGTATGGTGCAGGTCTTCACATCATCGAAATAAGCAAAACGATGAATGGGCAGGAAGCCTGATGGTTTTGGGTTTATTGCTGGTCCATCTCCACCTGGCAATAATGCTGCAGCAACGCCACGTTGGTATAACACGGAGGCCTGTTATTATGGCGTAATCATGCGACGGTGTTGCTCTGCTCTCAGGGAAGTTGATCACAGGTGAAAGACATGAAGAGAATAATCTGAAGAAAATGTGTCTTTCGGATGCTTGTTCTTGGGATAAAAAGCTTAGGGTGTATGTTGTGGTCCCACCAAGTGTTCTGTATTTATAATGAGGTTCTGTAGGTTTATATATTTACAATTAAAAAGACCTTTTCATATCGAAAGTATTGATAACAGAGACTGCAGCACAGTGTTTGCAGTGGATGTAGCAAAAGAAAAAAAAAGAGATGTACGAAGGCAGTGTAACCAGACTTATTTCCAGTGCTTTAGCAGTATCAATGGATTAATCATGACAAGGTCTATGCTAAGTAAGCATGGTTTCTTTTTTCGGTATTGGTAAATGAATGCAGAAAGGCAAAATGCCCGCTCTTTCAAAAGCAGTCAGTGATAGCCCCTGCCCGATTTAAAGCAGGTTAGACTTGATTCTGAGAAACCGGGGCAGCCACAATTCCCACTGAAGTGCTGCCAAGCCAAGGACTGATTATTACAGCAATAAATCAAGGTAGGCTGTTTGGAACCGGTAGAACACATCTCGGTAGGGTTGTAGCATCCAGTGTAAGTGGTAACAGGAGAGGTACTGACACCACAGGAAAGAATATCTGAGGTAAGTTACTGTCTCACCAAACTCCTGGGAAGTGGCCTTATCTGTTACATGTTTTGGATCTATCTGCTAAGGCATTAGTGTTACCTGGGTCATAGGATAAAGTATTCAGAGATACCTGTCATTTTTTTCCTTTTCTTACAACAGTGCTGTGTCATTTCGGCCACTCCGTTGCACTTCGGTTGCATAGAGCAGATAAGCAGTTTTTCTTTGAAATAAAAAATTACTAATAAGAATACTGTCTGTCAGCTTCTTCTTAAAACCCCCCCCCCCCCCCTCTTTTTTTTGGACCCGCCCGTCAACCCCCCCCACTTCTTTCTGTGATGCCAGCCCTGTCACAAGTATGGCTGTGATCCAAGAGCTGCTCCCACGTGGCTGATACAGCTTCGGAAGTTGTTTTGCTGTAAAAAGGCAGAGAAGCGGAGTGATTAGGTGAGCACCCCTTCCCTATCACTTTCTGAACCTCAGGCAGAAGTAGTGAGAAGCAACGCCAGTCAGAACAGCTGAAAGGCGGTTTCCTTCTGCTGCTTGCAGTGTGGGATGGTTTGGAAGGTGGCTCCTCTTCTACTGCCGCTGAACCGGCACATCTGGGAGGCTTTGGCCAACCACTGGAAGGGACAGTCTTTTCCAAAAGGCTGATGGGATTTTCTAAATTCCAGTAGGCACAGACCTGGAAATTAGGTATTATCATTTGGTATGTGGGAGTAGATTCTGTCTTTCACCATGGAGGACCTGTAACACCACTCAACTTACAGCTCTGCTATTTAAGTTAAGATTTAGGAAGAGAGGGCAAAGGTCTGCATGTAAACTGCCCAAAACCTCACATGTTTTTGTGGATTGGAGAGGTGGGTAGGTCCAAACTAGCAGAAGAGCTGAGGAGGACCCCTGGACAGCTGACTTGTGCTGGCAGGATTTGTCCCATAGACAGCGGGAGGAGAGGTGGTTGGGGAGAAGAAATGGCCAAGGATATAAATGGCCTTAAGACATAAATCTTCCTTTCCCCCTAACCACAGCTGTGTTCTCCAGGTATTGAAGGGTAGCCTGAAGAAAAGACCCAGGAAGAAAAGATTAATTTGAGAAATGCTTAGAGCAAAAATAATGAAACAACAGTTTCCTACATGTGACATTTCCTCTCTGCTTATTGAAATGCTGTTAAACACGTGCACATACTTCAGGACTTGAGATCCTCTACAGTCAGTAGATGAAAATCCAGTGTAATTTAACAATTGATCTTTGCTAAGCAGTTAAATGCAAATGAAAAACTGTCTAAATGAAATAGAAACTTAATGGGAGATGAGATGTAAGTATATAATCTTTCACTCTGTCTCATCAGAATAAGAATTTAATTTAACTTGCAAGGAATATGCAAATGGTTTCCCTGTGTTATCATTCATATTCCTTCTAATGGGAAGCTAATTGAAAGAAATGGAGAAGACAGAGAGGTAAAAAACCATCAAAGATAAGTTTGACCTAAAATACAGATTTTACGTATCAAGTTACAGACTATAAGAATATTTCCATTTTTAAAGTAAATAGTGTAGCATTAACAGTGCTCAAAATTCAATTGATTACAAACTGATGACAAATAAAAGGAATTAACTATGCTATTTTCAATTATCAGGGACAGAATTCGAAACAAAATTAATAACCTAAGCAAAACATGTAAGATAAATAAGATTCTTAGAGTTGTTTAACTTTTCCTAATGAAACATGAATAAAAGCATATTTTATCTTAAGATATATTTCTTATAATTGTGTTAATTAAGCTAGGTATGTCCATGCTAGATTTACTCTGTAAGGCTGTAGTATTTTATAACAGGTGTTTGTAAATGAAAATCAAAGCATAATGTAAGACATCTCTTACTTTTAAAAATAACAAGTAACTTTTTAGCTAAGTCTACATCCTTAGTATTTTTTTAATAAACTAGCCAGAAGTCATTCAAATCAACAGTTTCATGTCTGCTTTGGCCTGTCACATGTAACACTTGTAGCTTCTGACTCAAAGTCTGAGCCAAAAAAAGAAATTCCCATCTGCAGAACCAGCAATTGTTAATTAAAACTTTTTTTCTCATTTGCAAGAGTTGAACTAAGAAGCATTATAATTTGGCTGGTATTTCAGTAATTAATAGCAGCATTATTATATTAGATGTACAAGATTTTTGGCTTGCATGAGTCAATAGCTTGTTTGAGAGATTGTGAGTGAGTTGGTTAAAAGAATAAATTCTTAAAGAATCAATGGCCATGCATGGCATGGATTAAAAACTGGCTAAATGGTAGTCCTCAAAGTTAATTTTAACCAGCCAGTGATCATCAAGGGGATGTAGGATAGTGCAGTAGAATTCCCCATGATTCTTCCCTCTGCACTATTTAGTAGTTTTACTAGTAAATGGATACTACAGGTGGAAATGAAAATTGAAATAAGGAACAATGATGTGAATAATTGTTTTCTCCTATTGCTGTAGGTTATGACATGAAGGTTATATGATTTTATGGCATGGATCTGCAAAGATTATTTTAATATCTCAAAATCGGGTAATTTGGTAAATCTGTGGATTCTGTAATTTGCTAGCACACACTGCAGTTACATACACCTCTTTCAGCCAGTTTTATTCCCTTCTCCAAAGGATATCTATGCTCTTCTTGGGGCAGCAGCACCAGTACTCAAAAGATACATTGTAACTACTTGTTGTAATTTTTGACAAAAATTAAAATCATCAAGAGTAAAAAACTCTTCACAGAATGTGCACTTACCATACTGTCTAATAATTAACACCCTTCCTACTTTCAAAGGTGGGAAAAAAAGGAAGGGCTGCACCCATCTTCCTCCAATGCTGGGTTTGTACACTTCCTACACTGAATCCCGTTACTTCCCATTTGTGAATGGATGAAACTCTTTAGCCAAAGGCATGTACCCTTCCTGTGATTAGCTGATTTATGGAGTTGTTACTTGGTGGTTGCTTTCAAAAAATATAATGCTTTCCTGAATTAGTTTGTTTGTTCAGGGTACTTCATCCAGTGGATTGGTACATATGTGTGTGCTGGTATGGACAGCAGGAGATAATGACAAATCCTGAGGCTCATGGAGGTGCAGAAGAAAGCTAGGACACGCACGTGCATGTCGGTGTGAGAGATGGGAAGGAGACTCTAGCCTGCAATAGCCAAGCGGGCCACAAAATGCGGCAGAGCCCCGGTCTGTGGCTGCCTGTCTGACCAGGTAGTGACCCGTGCGTGGGGGTGCGGGGATGCCTGACGAGCGGGCTGTGGAGTCAGCCTCTCTCCTGCCTGGTGAATACTGAGTTATTGAGGCAGAGCAGAGCAATTTCAAGACTGAGATGAAGAGTCATACTAATACCATACTTGCCTGAGACAGAAGCAATCAGAGTAGAGATTTGGAGCTGATTCCCCTCCATCATCTTGGGCAAATGTTTGAACAGTGAATTGTTCTGGAGTAAAGTTAACTTTCTTTCTTTCTGCTTCCTTTTCTTTCTTTTCTTCCTCCCCTCACTCACATTCTTGTTTTCTCCTATCTTTTCTCTGCTTCAGAGACTGAGAAATCTTCCCAATAAATCAACTAACAGATCCTGAATGTTTTGAAGAACTTGTTTTGAATTTTTTTATCTGGCAAAAAGTATGTTTTATTGAAAAACCTGCATTCAGTTCCCAAAGTCCACATACCTGGGCTCTTGCACAGATGCCTCAGGTGTACTTCCTTACTTTGCTTTGATTTATCCCTCTGGGTGCTATTGATTAATCTGTGTTTTTTAAGTTGTCTTCATAGCTACCTTTCTCTTACTTTCTTAAAGAAAGGAGATACACTTCTGGAATGAACTCTGACCAAGAAATTCTCTGGGAATCCTGTCGCAGTGTAATTTTATCTATATTTGACAGACAGGCAGGAAAATCAAGGGAACTTGTTTTCTGCGTGTGTTGATTACTTTGAAAAGTGTAATTAAATATGCCATCATTATCCATATTTTCCATTTCACTGTATTACTTTTTACTATGTATGTCACGTTAAACATCCTAATATGAAGGACTTCATTGAGTTAGACTTATTTTTTCCAGAAATGTTTTACTAACAAGTAAGTATAATGGTAAGCATTTTCCCTTTGCAGCTGTCCTCTGTTTAGGACAGGTCTACTATTTCAAAGGTTTTCAGTGAGCAATGAAATGGGAAACAGAAGGTTGTTGCTCACACCAGTTTTTAAGGAAAAATTCTTTCATGATTTCTTCGTAATTAGGTCTACTTGAAGTTTATGAATCATAGTATTTGACTGCTGCTTTTCTGTTTGATTTTGTAACAGAATATCAGCTTTCCATTCAACAGTTAGTGGCATTTTTGGAACCAGACAGCTCCACTTAGGAGACTCTCTCAGACACCGAGACTGGAGAGAGC